TGGTTGAATGTTTATATTCTGGTTTATAAACCTATGAACTATAATGAAGTATAATTATAGTAGTTACTGTATAATATTTATATGTGATAATATTATACAGTATGTAAGTCTAGTATTCATAGGTTTATACAGCAACAATCATGTTTAGCGCCCCACCGCACGGGTCCGCACGGGTAATCCGCCATCGCAGGCTTTTACCTCACGGAAACCGTGAAGGATCTCGCTGTGACTAGGCGACCCTCAAAGAGATGCCCTTGGGTTTCCTGGAAAATATGTGGAACATATTTGACAAACAATCCTGGTTTGAGACTTTAAAAGGCTCTTTAACTCATCATGAATGTTAACTGCTACATAACACGCAGTTTACGAATAGGAGGGATACACGTATTTTAATAGAAAGTTATCACGATCTTTTGCGGTATCTCATAAGCGCCCAATTCATAGGCAGGGTTTCTTAGTGCTGGGATGACACGAATGTCCTGTGGGCAGCTTGGCAGCAGGGAAAACAATGCCACCACCCATGGCCACTGGGAATGAGTTCTGCCACCTATAAAAATGGTGATGACTGCAGTCATGGCCCGAAATGCCAATTATAAGTACTGACAGTCGTCACCCCATTTATGGAATGTGTTTCATCCCATAGAAATAATCAGCAAAATTTCACCGGTTCACCATTTATAATTGGTATTTCCGGCCATGACTGTGGGGGTTGGTCATGCCATGGCATTGACCAAAAGCACCTTTTTTGTGTGAAAAAAACGAGCGAAAGTCGCAGGCTGGTCCTCAACATCAAGGCAGGTGCTGCAAAGCGCAGTGCCTCAGCCGCCTGAGCCATGAAGAAAATGGCTTAGTTGGGCCCCCAAAATCATAAGAAAAGTGGTGACTTAACTAAGAAAAATGTGAATTTAAAGGGTGTGTTAGCTGATTTACGATAGCTAAGCTGCTTTATAACTACAATAACTAGGGTTTATGGGGGAACCAACTATAACTATAGTTTGGTGTGGTTATAAACCAACTTATAACTGGTGGGCCCCACTTTGTATAGATATGGCCCTTGACAATTGTAAATGGGATTATAATTCCTGCAGCTAAGGTTATATGTATGTCATTTAAATGAGGCCTTCTGAGCCAGTTATAACTCTAAAGGGCTGAAACTGTAGTTGATATTAGTTGATTGGTTATGACATATACCTTGGATGTTGAGGGTTCTAATCTAACCCATAGTCGTTTACTGGGCCCAACTAGTATAAGATGGGATAGGTGTACGTTTCATGGCTATGAGATTTGAAGGTACACATACGGTGCTTTAACCATGAAAAGGTAAGATGTGGTGCCCCAGGTCGCTAGCAAAGTTGGTTTGTATCTCCGTTTACTTTTGCTATAGATATATCGGGTGTATCAACCAGCAAACACAGCTGCGGAGCACCGCTTTGTAAGGAATTTGACAAACAACATATGTGAACTTTGTTTGGTGAATATGTGTTTTTGCAAACGTAGAAAATGTTCAATAGTGTGTGTACCTATTTTTGCTTGGATTAATAACCACCAGATTGCGATTTTGTTTTTGTGCTGCTCAAGGACAAGCATTATTTGCTTAAGGGAAAAATCATACCGGTATGTGTATTTTTGTATATATATATATATATACCGTATATATGTGTACAAATGGCATGTATATGAAATATACTGCAAGCATTTGCAAGCTATATGTCAAATGTATTGATGTAATGTAATGTACATGTCAATTCATGTGATTTTATGTTTTGTAATGTATGTACCTAATCTCTAGGTAAGCATGTATCTATCCTGAGAAATATTAGGGCCAGGCACCTTGTGTTGCCCGGAAGTTTACAGGGACGTTCCCGGCAAATTTCATGATGATGATGATGATTGAAGATCTTCAATGAATGTAGAAGTTCCACGGGGTGGGAAAATTAAACCCTTATTGAGGATCTTCAATGAATGTAAGAGTTTAACGCGGGTGGAAGAATTAAACCCTTATTGAAGATCTTCAATGAATGTAAGAGTTTAACGGGGTGGGAGAATTAAACCTTTATTGAAGATCTTTAACGAATGTAAGAGTTTAAGGGGGGTGGGAGAATTAAACCCTTATTGAAGATCTTCAATGAATGTAAGAGTTTAACGGGGGTGGGGGAATTAAACCCTCATTGAAGATCTTCAATGAATGTAAGAGCTTAACGGGGGTGGGATAATTAAACCCTTATTGCAGATTTCCAATGAGTGGAAGAGTTTAAGGGGGGGTGGGAGAATTAAACCCTTATTGAAGATCTTCAATGAATGTAAGAGTTTAAGGGGGGTGGGAGAATTAAACCCTTATTGAAGAATCTTCAATGAATGGAAGAGTTTAACGGGGGTGGGAGAATTAAACCCTTTTTGAAGCTTTTCAATGAATGGAAGAGTTTTAGGGGGGTGGGAGAATTGAACCCTTATTGAAGAATCTTCAATGAATGGAAGAGTTTAACGGGGGTGGGAGAATTAAACCCTTATTGAAGATCTTCAACGAATGTAAGAGTTTAAGGGGGGTGGGAGAATTTATATGAGATGTACAGTGTGAAGAAAAAAATCCTTGTAATTTACGCTATTCTGGGCTTGGGCAACACAAGGTGCCTGTGGGTAATATTACGTATGTTTGTACGTATGGAATGAATGGAATGGAATGGAAAGAAAATGAAAGGAAAGGGATGTAATGTATGTATATATGTATCTCTAACTCTATTAATACTGCATCTATACAGTACATGCATGCGTGAAAGTACTGTAATGTAATCAAATATCATGTAAAGTAAGGTAATATAGTGCAATGCAATGCAATGTAATGCTTGTCATGGGATGTGATGACATGTGTTGTGGTGTGGTGTGATGTATGTGATGCAATGTATTGCGACAGAACGCAAGGCAATGTAGTGCAACGTAATGCAATAAAATGCAACGTAATGCAATGCAATGCAATGTAATGCAATGTGATGAAATGTAATGTACTGTAGTGTATGTAATATGTGTGATTCATGTAACAATGTGATGTGTAATGTAGTGCAATGTAATGCAGTGCCCGCAGTGCAATGTCATGCAATGTAATTTAACGTAAGCTACGGTCATGGCTGAGATGCACCAAGTTTCGGTTGATTTGGATTTACCCGGCCTGGTAATTTAACAGTTTGCTATTGAAAATTGCCATTGATGTTGTGGATTTTCCCATGGCAAATGGGTGGATCTTTCCATAGTTTTCTGTGAAAGTTTACCAGAGGCTAGCCATGTAAATAATCCAATTAAGAGCCCCAAACCAGATCCTTATTTCATCACAGAAATGCATCGAATCATTCGTGGTGGTTTCGTAAAATCGGGGTACCCCAAATCATCCAAGTCATGGATGACCATGTTAGCATTGAACACCATGGTGACTTTGGGTAGCCCATCTTTGCAAACCTCCTAATTGAATGTTTTCGGGTGGTTTCCTTCACGATCTCTTTTTTGGATCATTTGGGTTCATGATTTTCGAACAGCTGCCGAGGCTACCTTCGTTATCAGCAGTGCAGCAAGACTACGCCCTGTCTTTGCAAGAGCTGAGCCGACGCAGTGTCCAGGAGAATAGAGTGAAGGGTTTTCATTTTAGCCATGGAAATGAGGTACCTATATGTGCCTATAGATCAATGCCTATATGTGCCTATAGATCTATGATTCCTAGGAGTGGTTTAAGAGAAAGTCTGCAGAACATTGCCCCTATCATTGGAGGTAAAAAACAGTTGTTTTTTTTGCAGAGTTGCCCTTAAACCAATCCATTGAACGATGTTTTTCATGCGCTCATGCAACATTGATCAATCCCAGATGAACCCTGCCATGGCTGTTGAGCTGCAAAGAAAGCGACGAATTAAAATCGCCAGAACGGGCGTCAGGGCGAAAATGACATGAAGCGGCGGCAGGGAAGTAGGACTTTGGTTGGATTTTGTATCATTTGCCCATCTTACATAGTGGTGCCCCAGAGATAGCTAAGTTGGTTTATAACTACAATAAGTAGGACTTATGGTAGATATATCTATAGTTGATGGGGGTTATAAACTAACTTATAACTGGGGGGTACCACATTGTAGAATCTTGTTTCACTCCCCATCTCGGAAAATCATGAGAAGATAATGATAGATAATGGCTAAGCTCATGATGACGGGGGTGATGAGCATTTCTTGACTATTTCGGGGGTCAGTGGGGTGGATTTTGAACATTTTTAGTTCATACATTCTTTCCAGGAGATGGTTGAGGTGAAAAACATACGAAGCAGTCTTTATGATTTAGCGGTGAAGACTGGGGGTTCCTGTAGATGTTCCATTAAAATTCATCACCACTCTTTTGGCTACAATATATATATATATATAAATCCATGAGTCGATGATCATTCTGTAAATCTTTATTTTTGTGTTCCAGGAACTTGTTTTTTCACATCCGATGATTCCATTGTCATGATGTGGTGGATCCAGAAGGAATGTGGGATATCTAGATTTTGTTCATAGACCCCAGAAAAATCCAAGCAACAAATAGTACAGATGTATACAATGTGAGGCCCCCTAGATAGCGTTCAGTTGGTGAACATAACTCCAATTTCACTATGGTTTATGGTACGCAAATAACGAACTAGTTACTGGGGCTTTTGTTAACCAACTTATAACTGGGGGGGCCACATTGTAGACATAATGTGCACATGATACTTGTGATGAATATCTGATGAATAACCCTCTGGAGATCGTGTGGTTTTTCCCCGATCCAGACACCTCAAACAGATATGCCTCTGAAAACATGGTTGTTTTTTTGCATTCAAGGGGATATGTCATGATATATTTATAATATTCTATAATATTGACTATAATTCTTATGTGTATATATATATATATTCACACCACACAGATTTCCCATTGTTGAACACCATTGAAGCCATGCATTGATGTCTTTTTTTTGAAGCCGAAATTGAACAGTCCTACCTCGAGACATCTAAGGCCTGTAGACTGGGCAACCTCTACAACAAAGAGGTGGATGGGGGTTTTGAGTCATGGGGGATTCCCAAGTCTCCATAGGTTTCAATATAGATGTCAATATAGGTTTCAATGGCCGAATGACTTGGATGATTTCGGCAGCGAGCACGGCTTGGGGGTACCACCAATTCCAGGGCCCCCCCTGGATTTATAGACACTGGTAGTCAAACGTGGCAAGCTGGGAATCCCCCATACATCAAGTCTTTTTTTGTGGGATAACCCCTTTATAACTGGATGATTTCCCAGGGTTGATTACCGGGGGGTTACTCGAGTACTCAACCCGTGACTCAACGATAAAACGGGAATCTATAGCTGCTGATCTTGTGGGATTAAGATCCAATGTGTGTTTTTTTTCCCCATCATAAATTTGCAATGCTTCACACGGACCCTCATTAGTATCAAGATCGTTTTCTGAGACCTGGCGACCCGCCACCATTCCCATTATGTTTCTTTGTTGTGCTTGATTGTTTTCCTGTATAATGTTGTTGATTATGATATCATACAGTCATCCACGCATTGATTTTACAACTCCTATTGATTTCTTGTATCCCATATTTATTGACTATGATTCAATTATTTAATATCACATATTGTACATTAACTGTACCCCATTCATATACCCATTAGAATTATATTCCCCATTGTCTTGAATCAAATTTAAAGGGATTGATACAACACATGGTCCATGATCTTGAGATATAACTCCACTTTGTATTTAATCAAGTTCTCTATTCTAAAATATAACTGCTTGGTGGTTTGGAACATGTTTTTCCCCATATATTGGGAATAATCATCCCAACTGACGAACTCATATTTTTCAGAGGGGTAGGTATACCACCAACCAGATAAACATATCCTACAATGTGAGGCCCCCAAGATAGCTAAGTTGGTTTATAACTCCAATAACTATGGTTTATGGTATTTATAACTATAGTTACTGGGGCTTATAAACCAACTTATATCTTGGGGGCCTCACATTAGTTGATTCATCTAACATCCTAACTATACTCCCCAGGTTCTCAACTTCGTTGAACCAGCGATGATCAAGCCATGTGGAGCCAGGCGGTGATCAGCGCACTGTTGAACCGGAAGATGCCCAAAGATCTGTCGCACATCCGAGCCTTGAAGGCGCCGCTGATTCCAAAAATCGTGGGTTTTTGTTCTTTCCCATATGGCAGTGTGTCAAAACCTTGTACCCCTGGTGAACATCAAAATAGTTGGTAAATGGATGTTCATCCCCCTAAAAATGGTATTAATAGGTATTGATCCATACCCATATGCGAACCGTGGTGCTGGTATATTTACCTACATGACTGGGTGATTTTTAGGGCAAATGTTGGTAAATATTCCAGCACCATGGAGCATATGGGTTTAGAGAAAACGCGCCAAAAAAAACAGCAAAAATAAAAACACATTGAAAAAATAAAACACATCAAAAAAAATAACGGAAAACAAGTGTAAAAGCAAGACTTAACAGACAACTCAAAAAAAAACAAAGAGAAAACAGATACTTAGTAGAAGACTCAAACAACAATCAATTTCAGATTTTGAAGGAACAACTTGGAAAAAATGCTTAATTTTTGAAGAACGGAGGAAACATGCAGTTTTGATTCCGGGATTGAGTCTTCTGTTGAGTCTTTGGTTGAGTCTGGATTTGTTTTTCGTAGTCGTCTTGGTGAAAATAAACATGTTTCGAAAAAATGAAGGAAAAACACAAGATAAATAATCAACAAATACACATCAAACAGAAGCAGATTGTCTGCAACATGCTGATTTTCAAGGAAAAGCGTGGAAAAGCCGCTGAAACATTGAAAGACTGTGGAAAAATGCAGATTTTAGTCCGGACTTGAGTCTTCGATAGGGTCCTCTGTTGGATCTGTGTTCATTTGTCTGTTTGTTGTTTTTTCCATGTTTTTTTTTTCTGAGTCTTCTGTTGAGTCTCTCTTTTGCACTGGTTTATTTTCTGAATGTTCTTTTGTTTTTCTAAATTGTGTTATTTTTAATATGGTTTGTTATGAAAACACAATAAATTGTGTTATATTTCTAAATTGTGTTATTTTATGTTCTAAATGTTTTTTCTAATATATTTTTGGTGTGTTTCTTTATTTTTTTCGTTGATGTTGCACATCTCTGAGAAAATATGTTTCGCAATTTTGGGATTGTTTCTATGAGAGACCTATGGTTTATACAGGATAATGGGGATAAAGCAACGGGATATTTCATGGGATACATGACCAACAAATGTTTGTACCCTCTGGTAAACTAACATAGCTATGGAAAATCACCATTTTTAATGGGAAAATCCACTATAAATGGCAATTTTCAATAGCTACGTTAAATTACCAGAGGGTATCTGAAAGTGGTGTTATACTCGCAAGAAACATAGCAGTTGAATAGAGAAAATGCAAGTTTATACGCAGAAACTTGGTGGTAGGTGGTACTGTAATTATAGCACCCCCAAAAAAAGAACAACATCCTACTACAGTAACTGACTGATTGAACCTCGTCTATCTTCTTTATCGGTTACTACGCATTGAATTTTCAGGGTACGCCAAAACGATGCCACGGTGCCTCTTGTCAGGACGTGAAGCAGTTGGAACCCAGGGGATGGCTGGCGCATGCGCATGCGGTGAGTTGGCTCGCGGGTCAGATATAAAGAACTGGCTGTGTTCATGCATAGTGGTGCCCCAGTTCGACAGCTAAGTTGGTGCACATATCTCCAATTTCACCAGGACTTTTGGTAGATATATCGAACTAGTTCATGGGGTTATAAACCAACGTTGACATCGCCGGGGGGTACCACTAGTTGTGGGTTATAAGCCACAAAAACTCAGGGACTCATGCTCGGTGGAAGAGGAATGGTAGCTTTTGGAGAGAAAAAGGCCTACAAGGGGAGGCCCCTGAACCATAGCTACATTGGTTTACAACTATAATAACTATGGTTTACGCGGGGTATATCGAAACTATAATTAATGGATATACACATATATATATTATATAAACCAACTTGTAACTGGGAGACCTCACCTTAATTGATATTAAAAAAACTAGCCATGAAAATTGGAGGAGCTCTTTCGAGTCAGAGATGATTATCTCAACATCCCGCCTGATTGCAAATACCCCAAAGTCACTGGGTACTTGCTCATCACAGGAATAGGAAATGGGTACCCCCAGTTATAAACTGGCCTATTTTGACACTTACCACGCCTTTTTCACTGGGGTTGCAACGTAGAAAAGCCTGGCGTTGATGGTTCGCTTCCGTTGCCACAATTGAGGTGCCTGATCACCTGGAAGGAAGACGAAAAAGAGGATGGCCGCAAGAGAATGGTCGGCAAGCCCAGTGGCAACATTTTGTGGCCCGGTGCCGTTTTGTTTGATTGTTATTTCTATGTGATCATAAACCATAGAGGTTAAAAGTGAAAAAAAACTGACCATTCAATATCGCCCGCAACTATGAATAAGTTATTTTCATAAGTTATAAGCTGTTATAAACAGGATGATCATTCTAATAAAAATATCATACATAGTGGTGCCCCATAGATAGCTAAGTTGGTTTATAACTACAATAAGTAGGACTTAAGGTAGATATATCGAGCTAGTTGATGGGAGTTATAAACCAACTAACATCACTGGGGGGTACCACATTGTAAATAGTTGCCATAACTGCGTGATATTTGCTAAATGCCGCCCAAAAGGTGGTTAGGCAGTTGATGGTCATCAAGCAACTGGGGCTGGGTGATTTTAAAGCAACAGAAATAGGCCCCGGGGCACCAGCGTACGCATGATATGTTATGTTTTTACATGTTTATACATCCACTGTTTGGATGTAAATCAGAATATGAACAAGCTCCGGAACTTATATTGATTCGGACCAAAAAAGGAACTGCATTGATATCTCAATAGCTTGATACTTGCCCAACAAAGCAAAAAACGTGAAGTTAGGTATCTCAATTTCTGTGGGTTTTCAAGCCCTACATATCTATGTCATGTAGGTCATCAACCAGCAATAGTTGGGATATCATCAATGTGGGGCCCCCGTTTGCGATAGCTAAGTTGGTGAACAGACCTCCCATTTCACTATGGTTTATGATACCTATAACTATAGTATTCATGGGGTTTATAAACCAACTTATAACTGGGGGGCCCCACATAGATGTTGTGAAAAATATGTCTTGCAAACGTGCTGGCTTGCGCCTCGCTGGTTTCACTATGGAAATCCCCATTAAAATTCCATTTGGGTGATGGTTAAATTCCATAAGTGTTTGCCTATTTACTAATGTATACTAATGTCATGAATATCATAGACCTGATTATTGGAGTTATGTTCACCAACTGAACGCTATCATGAATCAGCCATAAATTCCATTCAATCACCATTTTATTGGTTAAGTCAAGTCACCATTTTCTTGTAGAACCATAGTTATAACCAGGATATAAATTCAATTTTAATCCATTGCAATCCCATTGTAACCCATTCACCATAGTTCGGATATATGATTTCCATTAATACAGTTTGGATATAGTATACCCGTTAATCATATTCCATTATGATCCCGTATAATCCCATTAACACCCAAAATAATCCATTACAATTATATCACCCATAAACCATAATAGTTTGATTAGAATTATTCATATGTGATGATCTATAGAGCATAGTTATATCCCCGATAAATTATATTGAATTATAAAATATGGTTAGTAAATTAAGCCACAGTGGTTAGTAAATATTTTTTCAGCCACAGTCATATAATTAATTTTAATAAATCCCACTATAATCCCATAATTCCCAATAAACCATAGTTATATTCCGCACTATAACTATAAATCCCATTATAACCATAGTTGTATTCCCCATAAACCATAGTTTGGGAGCCGGACCTTGCTTAAATCCCATTATAATTATGGACACTTATCATCCCATTAAGTCCCATGAAATATCCGAGTATAATCCCTTTATAACCCATTAATCATACTTTGGATACTAATCCCTTTATAACCCATTAATCATACTTTGGATACTAATCCCTTTACAACCCATTAATCATACTTTGGATACAAATCCCATCATTCCAGTTTGGATATGTACATATATATATACTATATTTGGTTGTTTATCCCACTTAGTAAGTAGTTTATAACCTAAGCTGTAAGTGGATTAACGCTACTTCTCCCACTTACAACTGGAGTTATAACCTACTAAGTGGGATGAGCCGGATGAGCCACCAAGTACCCATAAACCATAGATACTATCAGAAATCCCTTTGAATCATAATACCTGATTCAAAGATACTATGAATCCCATTTGATAATCCCATTATCATCCCACAATCCCAAATATATATATATATAATTATATGGGTAAATTATAACGACCTCACTGTTCTCCCGAACCCTGGAATCATTGTTAATAAGGGGGAAATCATCCCCAAGATAGCCTTATTTCATCTTAATTCAGGTTAGTGAAATATTTAATTTACCCAGATATATGGAGTTATAATGTGGGACACCTCAAAATGGTTGTAAAGTTACGGGCAAACACCTCGATTTGCCCGTGCTTGTCGGCGGCCATCTTCGTATGTGCTGAAAACGTGGTAAAAATGGAAGTTTTTGCATCATGGCCAACTTCCTGTTGTATATCAGCACGTACAGCATAGGGACCTGCGCGAGTCTCTTACACATCATAATCATCATAATCATCATCATCATCATCAAACCCTTATTGAAGATCTTCAATGAATGTAGAAGTTTAACGGGGGTGGGAGAATTAAACCCTTCTTGAAGATCTTCAATGAATGTAGAAGTTTAACGGGGGTGGGAGAATTAAACCCTTATTGAAGATCTTCAATGAATGTAGAAGCTTAACGGGGGTGGGAGAATTAGACCCTTATTGAAGATCTTCAATGAATGTAGAAGTTTAACGAGGGTGGGAGAATTAAACCCTTATTGAAGATCTTCAATGAATGTAGAAGTTTAACGAGGGTGGGAGAATTAAACCCTTATTGAAGATCTTCAATGAATGTAGACGTTTAACGGGGGTGGGAGAATTAAACCCTTATTGAAGATCTTCAATGAATGTAGACGTTTAACGGGGGTGGGAGAATTAAACCCTTATTGAAGATCTTCAATGAATGTAGAAGTTTTATCGGGGGTGGGAGAATTAGACCCTTATTGAAGATCTTCAATGAATGTAGAAGTTTAACGGGGGTGGGAGAATTAAACCCTTATTGAAGATCTTCAATGAATGTAGAAGTTTAACGCGGGTGGGAAATTTATATTCCCTAAATACCCTTGTTGATCTTCCCAATTGAATGTAAAGTCTAATGTTTGATATCCCCAAGTGTACAGCATAGAAGGGGTGTGGGCGAATCGGTTTTTTTGCGCGTAAAGTTACTGTCCTGCTATTACTTTCCAGATGGTTGTATAGTTTGGTTAAAACCATATGTAAAAAAACATTATTTGATAGAGTATACACCATATATTTCCCATAAACCATATATTTGATAATTTGGTAATCCCATTAAATCCCATTAAATCCCATACAATGTGGTACCCCCCAGTTATAAGCCCATCAACTAGTTCGATATATCTACCAAAATTCTGGTGAAATTGGAGATATTGGCACCAACTTAGCTATCTATGGGGCACCACTATGTAGATATAACTATAGTTAATGGGGATTATTTCACGGTTTATAAACAAACTTTTTTTTACTTAAATGGGGAATGATCCATTTCATCACTAGTAATAATAATCCCAGCAACCCCTAGCCACCCATCCATTCCCTACGTTTAGCACCAGTAAGAAATTATGTAGATACTATCTAGATAAACCACTATGTATGATACGCAAATGATTAAAAAAATAGATGGGTTTATAATTCAACCAACAAACATAACGTTTGGGGGCCCCATCCTGTATAGCCATAAACCCATCGATCTTTTCTCACTGAAAAGGTGTGCCCACTGAGTCGCGAAGACTTGGACAATGGCTCCGCCCGTGCGGTGCGACGGGACGAGGGCTGCGAGGGGACGAGGGGACGGGAGTGGAAAACCATAAGGAAACCCGCAGAAAACCATAGGAAAACCAGAGAAACCACTAGAAACCTATAGGAAAACCATAGGACCCCCTAGAAAACCATAGGAAACCTCTAGAAAACCATAGGAAAACCATTAGAAAACCAAGGAAAAACATACTGTGAATGGTTGCGAAATCCTGCACTAATTGGTAACTATTGGTGCAGGATTTCCTCCATCCACAGAAGAAAATTTTCAGAGGAAACCCCGGCCCGAAGACCCTTAATAAGAAAACCATAGGAAAACCACAGGAAAATGGTGACTTAACTAAGAAACAATATGAAACTAGTGTGATTTCATGGGATTTGGAGCTGATTTATGATAGCTAAGGTGCCACAGAACTAGAATTTCACTATGTTTCATGGTAGGTATATTGAACTAGTTGAACCTTGTTGTTATAGTTTACAAAACAACAAACATAACTGGGGATACTTACAACTACGAACCAGTATTCACATCAACTTCATAAACCGATCCATCACGCTTGGGGCCCCCAAACCATCGTAGAACCAAACGCTTGGTGGTGCCAGGGGTGGCTTGATAAGGCTTGATAGGTGCCATGGCGAGTTCACCTTCATAGTTTGGGATAGGCCCCCACCCTTTGGTAATCAAACATTGCTACCCTCTGGTAAACTAACATAACTATGGAAAATCATCATTTTCAATGGGTAAATCGACTATAAATGGCCATTTTCAATAGCTATGTTAAATTACCAGAGGGTAGCTGGGAAGTCCCCAAACGAAATTGAGGTTTAGAATTGGACATATCATCGAACTAAATGCAAGATTTTCCAGCCACGTTTGATTACTGGAGGGTATATGGCAGTGTGTCAAAACCTTGTACCTCTGGTGAACATCAAAATAGCTGGTACATGGATGTTCATCCCATTAAACATGGTATTAATAGGTATTGATCCATACCCATATGATCAATACTGGTTGGTGGTTTGTTTTTTTTTGATTTGTCCATTCAGTTGGGAATAATCATCCCAACTGACGAACTCCATCATTTTTCAGGGGGGGTAGGTATACCACCAATCAGAATAACAGTGGATAAAACATGGATAAGAAGTGGAATAAACCCCTGAAGATCAGTTTTATCCACTTATATATCTTCTTATAAGTGGAATTGCCCGCTGCAGTGATGAACATTTTCAGGATCTGGGATACCTGGGATCTACGGATGATCATCCCTAGCATTGTGGAATCCGTTTTTTTGTCGACCCCTCCTCGTATTTTGAAAACGAAGAATCCACCGAAAGAACAGAAACCACAGAATCAGCACTCAATGTTTGGTGATGTTTGGTTTTAACTTGCTGAAACATCTACAAATTCCACAACTTCCAGTCTTTGAAGTTTCTCAAAGATACCCTCTGGTAAACTAACGTAGCTATAGAAAATCACCATTATTAATGGGAAAACTAACTATAAATGGCCATTTTCAATAGCTCCTTTGCAGTCTCTCAGCGGAAAAACGGCCCGGTCCAAAAAGGTGGTGATTTGGCCCTCGGGTGCGGTGATTGCAGCCAAGAGCCTGAAGGAAATGAAGATGAAGGCGCCCAAAAGGTCGCCCTTGGTTACGTTCAATCATTGGAAAAAAACCTTGGTTAGCTCATGGGAATTCATGGTGGTTTAACAATAAATTATCGAAGGAAGTTTAGAAGTCAAACTTCCGACAATATGGAGAGATGAAAAGCAGAGCAGGGCAGAGGCAGAGAGAAGAGGAAGATTAGCAGAGAGGAGATCAGAAGAGAAAGAGTAAGAAGACAGAAGATACAGATGCGCGAAAAGGTAGGAAACACTGTGTTTTTCCAATGATTTGTGGCTCCGGAGGGTCGAAAAGTAGGCTCGCTAAAGCGGCGGGTGCGGAGCCAGCTGGCCAGAGGAGCGATGAAAAATTGCACGCCGTTGTGGCGCGAAGCACATTTCCAAGTGAAAATGTACAAAACACACCATTCTCGGACCACTTTTGGAAGTTGAGATGTCAAAAAAGTGCACGCCGTTGTGGCGCGAAGCGCATTTCGAAGTCAAAAGTGTTAAAAACTGGCGGTCTCGGACCACTTTTGGAAGTTGCGATGTCGAAAAAGTGCACGCCATTGTGGCGCGAAGCACATTTCGAAGTCAAAATGTACAAAGCACCACATGTTCGCGCCACTTTTGGAGGTTCAGATGTCGAAAAAGTGCACGCCGTTGTGGCGCGAAGCACATTTCGAAGTCAAAATGTCCAAAACACCTCAGCTCCGGACCACTTTTGGAAGTTGAGATGTTGAGAAAGTGCACGTCGTTGTGGCGCGAAGCACATGTCCATAGTGAGAGAGATCAAGCACCTTTCGGTCCATCAGTCGCTTCGCTCTGCCATCCCTGATTCACAACAACCAACCTCTCCTATAGGTTTCCTATTTGAAACTTCCGCCACCGCCTTGTGCGGTACTACTGGTAAATTATAACAAGAAATTAATGGTTAAAACCTTGATGGTTTAACAATAAATTATGACCTTGGAATTCATGGTGGTTTAACAATAAATTATAAATTCACAGCCAATTTAGCCATCTAATATGAGGATATCAGCAGTTTATTGCCAATGATTGGTGATTAGATACTATAGCTAGTACTATAATCGTTTGCAATCAATGGTAAAATGTACTACCGAGCTAAAGAAGTTTTTTGGGGGGGATATCGCAGATTCACCATGAAATTAAGTTTTGGTGAACAGTTTCTCCTATGAGTGGGTGACTTATCCATTGGAAATTCGGATATTGTTCAGAGTAGTACAGGCTCTTAGAACTCGTTTGGAGCGTACGTTGAGAATGGCTGCTGAAGAAGGTCACGGTCATGGCGGCAGCAGCCGAATCCGTTCTCGTTCCAGAGGACGTGGCGCTGAGGCTGATGCTGCCAACTTGGGTCCTGAGAATTCCACAGTGTTGGATAGCACTGGTGCCGGCATGGGAGATGTTGCTGGTCCTCCGGCAGGTGCTGAAGTGGGTGATGGAACCGTACCTTTGGCAGATGGATCTGTGCCACCAGGAGGAACAATGCCAGAAGGAACTCACCAATCTTGTTGGATGTATTTTATGGGATACAATAGATGTGTATATATATATATATTTGGTGATATGCAGATACTTCATGGGATAGGACTAAGCAATTTGATACACGTTTGAGCGGAGTTTCAGCTTGCGGCAAGAGGGATTCTTGTGAGTTGGTTGCAGGCGACGTTCACTTGTTGCCGTGGAGTGGTGTGGTGAAACTAACGGGGGGGATACAATCAATACTGTCGGAGGTTTACCCTCTGGAAATTTAACATAGCTATTGAAAATGGCTTACTTATAGTTGATTTACCTATCAAAGATGGTGATTTTCCATAGCTATGTTGGTTTACCAGAGGGTGTAGCTGCTGATCTTGTGGGAGTAAGATCCAATGTGGGAATGTCCTATCCGATATCCGATATCAATAATATCCCATGATATCATATAAATATCCCATAACATCCATCGTATCCCATAGGGAATTCCAGGATCCTAAAATGGAGGTACTGTACCATATAAGGCCATATTTTGTGGGGATATTCCCTTACATAGGCCTTATATAGGCCTTATATATGGTAGGTACCTCCAATCTAGGATCCTGAAATGGCCATTGATAAGAGTATCAAACAACGACACAATGAATGCCGTGTCTCCCACGGCTTCGTCCACCGTGTCGCAGGAATGCCCCGTGACTTCAAAACCATACGATGCAGAGAAGGAGACGCCGCAATCGGGACATCACCAGCAATAAAGTTGGCTGGTTGGTGGTTTGGAACATTTTTTCCATATATTGGGAATAATCATCCCAACTGACTAATATTTTTCAGAAGGGTTCAATCCACCAACCAGTTGGTATCGATGCGGAACCAAAATATGGTGATTTAGCAAAGGAATTTGACATAGTGGTTGGATGGTTGGTGAACTATAAAAAAATACGGGATTTAACTTGATTTAACCATTAACACTAGTAATTTAACAAAGACATGTGATTCTTTGCCACAAAAACAGGGGACTTAGCTAATCAGATGGTGATTTTTCATGAACCAACATGGCAATTTCATCCATTCGAACATGTTGAAACATGACAAGCAAAAATGGGGATTGAACGAGCAAAAATTGGCAGATCAAGTCGCTGTTTTCCAGCCAGGGGTTTCTGGGTGATCTTGGCACCCAGATATACAAAAAATTGTGATTTTGGTGATTTTTGCCTAACTTCCCTTTTTTGTGTGGAATGATGTTGATTACCCCACATAGTTTTCCATTGTATATAACATTGTAGAATGATGTTCGCTTGCGCATCCCATATTCCCTGATGTTTCATGATATCATGATATTATTCCAGCACCATGGAGTATATGGGTTATACTGTTATACTGTGTCTCTCATTTTACTCCAATGCGTCCTTTTCTTTCGGAAGGCTGAACGACAAGAAGCAAAGAACATCACCTTGCTGCGTAGAATGCTGGCTCTGTAATCCACAAGTACCCAGGGTGATATTCAAAGTTACTGTTTAGGACACGTATGTGCAATATATTGGTGAGTCTGAAAATGGGGTATACACCCATACGATTTTCCACTATAAGCCATCCGTTTTTGGGGTATCCTCTGGCAAACTAACCTAGCTATGGAAAATCCTTTTTTTAAATCTAAATCATAGATAAATGGGGATTTTCCATAGCTACATGTATGTTAGTTTAACATGCAGGGGGTATTCCATTTATGGAAACCCTCTATATCCCTTTTTGTCACCAGCTCGTGCTGCTCCAGGATGTCATTCCCTTGGCCCCTGATGGTGAGGACAAGGGCAGAGATTTAATATTTAAAAGTCGAAAATTGTGGTTTATAGTTGATTTATGATAAACAAAAATTGGTTCATAGATGTAACAACTGGGGGTAATTTGGGATATATCACACATTCACACACATATATATATATATACGTATGTATATCATATATATATATTTATTTATTTATTATATATAATATACATATATATATATATACGTATCATAAATATATTTACACACATTTTATATATATATATATATATCATACATATATAATATATGTTGTAATATTTTTATATATATACTGGGGTTTTCTCCTTTTCAAGAAACTTATGATTGGTACAGTAGTTGTTGTTGAACAACAAAAGCAAGTTTGGGACTGAATACTTGGTGGTTCACAGAAGGAAGTAGGTTAGAATCACTTACAGCTGGATTATCCGATTAGCCCCAACAAACATTCAAAAATAATTATTGCCATTTGCGATTTGCAACAAAGAAGAGACGAGTGGTTTCCAAATCCGTTGGATAATGATGATAGAGGATTCTACTCAATATGTAGGGATTTCGATAATGATTCACGGAAGTCCCCGCATGCATAAGCCAATCATTGTAAAGGATGTTCCAATAGGTTTTTGACACTGCTCATTATGTGTGCAGTATCTTAGCAACCAACATGTGGACATCAAACAGTGCGGGCGCTTTGAGTCCCGAGCGCCTCATTGCCTTACAATGGGGCCACTGAAGACGTCGCGCTATGTGCTTTAGCACTATATACAGGCAGCAACTATAGAGCAGCGAGGATCGCGAAGGTTTCGATTTGCTTCCGTTGATCAATTCCCTGGCCAGGAATGTCACCAAGTAGACTGTTGATGACGATGCCAAATTTTACCGTTTGATGTGTTAAGTGAACTCCAGTTTGTCAAAACATGTCAAAACGGGTGACTGGTTGGGTTGGTGATTCATTTGAGCGGTTATCACCTTTACTTTTACCCTAGTTGGAGGATCATCCCATTGCTAATCACCCTAGTAAACAAGTTCCCCATTCAATGTGTTATCTTCTCAATGGGCGGACTAGTAGACTAGGCCGGGTTCCTAACCCCGTTTCAAAAAACGGTGTGATCCTCAAAGTATGATTGGATTTGACTAGCCATTACTAATCGATTTCCTACATGATCATGCCATTCATTTATGGGGAATCCATGGGAATCCCCTGGCCAACCGATTCACGGCGAGATCTCTGAGGGGGCTTGATGCGATCCTTAGAATATGTGTTGGCTTATGAAAGTTGTTCATTCGGATACAGCTGCCTCATGGTTGAAATATTGATTGCTGGTTTCAAACATTTTTCCATCATATATGGGATAATCCTTCCACTAATATTTTTCTAGATGGTTAAAACCACCAGCCAGAATAGTTTTTTAGACGTTGAGGAAGATTCACGGAAAAAAAGGTGAAATCTACCACAGAACTGATTGGATTGGATGTGCCTTCTGTCCCCAAAATTGTGACATGTTCACACGGTTTTGGTCTGGTTGTTTGGTGGCCACAAAACCACCTTGTAGGGGTGTCTCATGATTCAACCATTAACCATCTTAACAATCATATGAATTCAGTTTAAAAATCATATGGGTATGGGTCAAAACCTATTAATACCATTTTTAGTGGGATGAACATCCATTTACCAGCTATTTTGATGTTCACCAGGGGTACAAGGTTTTGACCCATAGCCATATGAGTCATTTATTAACTAGTAATTAACCAATATAATTGACCATGATTTGCCATACTAATATAACATAACATAACATAATATAACCTATCATCGCCTGATGTTTACCATGACTTTGGCGCGATCCCAGGAGCTTCAGAAACTCCGGGAACGACTGCCTGCCAAGAAGCGGAAAGCCCAGGCGCGGCGTGTTACACATGGGGTGTCTGAAAATGGTGTCTAAACATTGAAATTCTTGGTAAATGGGTGGTGAAGTAATGTTAATTCATATTCCAATGTTTTCTCAAGTGCAAAAGACAGAATTAAGTTACATATATATATATATACAATTATATATATATGTATATATGTATCTATGATTATCTATGTATATATGTATCTATGTATATATGTATCTATGTATATATGTATATATTTATCTACAATATTTTGCAGTGGAACCCTCGAATTTTCAATCCTGAAATGGTTGCTTAATTGGTTTTAGGTCAACACCTGGGTACATTAGGTACCCTAAAATTGATGCCAGTTCCCCCAAATATGACAATAATGTGTTTTGATAGGGTATGACTCCGGTATGAGCCATCCCCAGTTAATGTTAGTTTAGCAAGAAACCATCTCCAATTTTAATCATATTTACCATACATGGTTGTGAGAAACCATGATCATATGAGTGGTTTATTCCTGTTTTACCAAGAGTGGGTCATCCCCAAGGTTTTACCAACGAGTACCTCAAATCCCAATGATTGAATCTAGCATTTCAATTTGGTGGTGGGTGAAAAACAATGTTTTACCGTATTTTTGGGATGTTGTTGACGGGAATGACCGATGATGTAATAGATGTTTTAATTATCTACAGATTATGGCTTTTGCCATTATCACTATCTATTTTTTTGTCGGTTGATCTATATCACCAGTTGCCTTAAAATAGGAGCCTAGGTACAAGAAGTGCCCCCCGGTTGTAAGTTGGTTTGTAGCCCCAGCTGTATAGCTATACGGGCTATACGTAGAATATACATATATCTACCTTGAATACTAGTTGACCTTTTAATCCCACTTTGCTATTTAGGAACCCTTTGTGCATGGTTAATTATCATATTGTTGGTTGATTATATCACGATATCCCATGAAATCATATCCCTCTCAAACCCATTCATTCCCATGATATCCCATGAGTAAGATATACCCCATTTTCAGACAAATCTCAAATCTCCATAGGCTGCTGCCCCAGAAGCTGAAGAGGAGGAGGAGAGTGCCAAGTTCCGCTACGGCAGAGACCCGGGGAAATCACAAGTTCAGGATTTTACCATGAGAATTTGGTGAATTCAATGGTCTGTCTGAAAACTGAAGCGTTTTTTAATGAACAAACATGCCAAGTAGTTGCAGTTTCTGCAAAAAAAAATACAACCCAAAGTGGGAAGACCCCAAACGGCGAGGATTCCATAAGCCCCAAAACCGGACCTGGGGATACAGAGTCGCCACCGTTTTTCATGGTGGATCTTCCTGGACCGGCTATGAAGCATGGGAGGCCTTGCCGTGGCAGGGTCTTAAATATGGTCACTAAAACCTAAAACCCTGATGCAACCTTTTTTTGTAAGTAGCTGGCCCCTGTTTTTTATTACTTAAACTGATCTTTTTTTTTGTTACTGTCCTGTGGACAGCCACACCTACTCCAACCAACCAACCCACCCGAGAAGCAAAGGTTTGTTCCCTTTGTGTTTTTCAGTGAAACTGTTTTGAGGCCCACCCTAAAGCCCTGGAATCCTGGTCCGAAAATCGTTGAGGACTTTGAGGCTGCAGCCAAGGATTCCAAGAAGGTCAGCGAATGGTGGTTCACGTGGTAAGGATGTCGCTGCATGGTTATATCATGTTACCTTGTGCATAGTGGTGCCCCATAGACAGCTAAGTTGGTTTATATCTGCAATAAGTAGGACTTATGATAGATACATCTATAGTTGATGGGGTTATAAACCAACTTATAACTGGGGGTTACCACATTGTGGTAAACAAACAGTTTGCGAACTGGAAAATTACCATCTTTGATGGGTAAGTATTTCTATGGGTAATTTTCCATAGCTATGTAACAAATTACCAGATGGTATATGTTGCCACCTCTACACTTCCATGTGACCTCCCCATGATTATCATGATTTGGGTAGGCGACTCTAGGTTTTCAAATATCTTCGAGAAGGGGGTGTTTGGGAATGGGGATTTAAGTGGTTGAAATTATTGCAGACCCAGCTGGAACTTAATTTGTTACAGTCAAGTTCGACTGTAACCTTTCAGCAGGGTATAGCAGGGTATTTTAGAGCACCTGGTTATAATATGTTTTAAAATCATAGTCACAATCGATAGGGATGGTAAGCCATTGACAGGCAATTTCAGCTTCGTCAAAGTTCCCAGCCATGTTTCCATCGGTGAAATCTCGCTGGCCAAGCGGCGCGGCCGCCAGCTGCTTGGAGACTGGGTTCTGGAGTTGAAAGTGGCGCAGGAACAGCTGTCAGCTGCCAGGGTTCTCTTCAGCATCTGCGCGCCAACTATATAGATGGGCCAATGCTGCACGCTCAGCCCACAGTGGACTGTGTGGAAGCCCGAAAAAACCGCACTTTGCTTTAACAGACTTACAATGTGAGGCCCCCAAGATAGCTAAGTTGGTTTATAACTCCAATAACTATGGTTTATGGTATTTATAACTATAGTTACTGGGGCTTATAAACCAACTTATATCTTGGGGGCCTCACATTGTACATATATGGTGGGTTCTTGGAATGCCAGAAGTTTCTACAGCTATGTTCTCCTGACGGATCCATCATGGACCTGATCGGCATCTTTTTGGGGACTGCTGTCCTGCGCCAAACACGTGTGACCTTGTCGTTAAGGTCATGCGTTTTTTTCTGCAGTTGCTAAGGTCAAACTCCATATTCCCATCAAGACATAGCTAGTTGATTAATTTAGTCTTGTACTCAAGATTCTACAATGAAGATTCTACAACAAAATGTTGGAATTTGGGAAACAATCCATCAGGAAGTCCTTATAGTGACTATAATGGGTATACATTATACATATATAATCATATATATATATAGTTAATATGAATCCCTATGCATGGACTCATGGCCACCCCAATGTGGGAAAATGTACCTCAGCTTTGACCGTAGAAATGGTTGGAACTGGGGGAAAATCAGGTTTCAAGATGCTCTTGGGACGTCAGGAAATTGATTGGCCGCATAAGCAGTTGAAGGATTCTTGCAGTAAATAGCCGTAGAAATTAGTTTCTCCCGTCCT